ATTTGACAGATGTAAGAGAAAAATAATAGGCATCCAATAAAATCTATGAAAGAGAAATAAGTAACAAATTGAATAAAAAATTAATACAAATTATTTGTTGACATTTTACCTATAACTGAAAGAAAAAGAGCAAAAAAAGGTCAGGAAAAAAGAGCAAATATGAAGATTTTGAGAAAGAAATGAACAAGAAGAATTCAAGAAATGAAGATTATGTTTTGCGGCCATGTGTGACATAACTTAATCTTGAATTGTTCTTAATTAAATTTTAGAAAATTCTACATCTAACATATAAAAAGTATTTTGGATGAGAATTACACTAAAACCTAGATTAACATATAGTGTTGTGTAATAAATGCAATTTTCAATGTTTCCATTATTGGACCAGTAAATGAGATGATAATTATGAACACTATGTAGATAATAAATATATCTTTAATATGATCCTGAATTTGATGTCTCAATATTTTCTTTGTAGATTAAAATCTGTAATAGATATTACATATTAAATTCTAATTGTTTATGTTCTATTTTAAAATAATTTTACTAATTCTAAATTCACAAATTATTTTGTAATATTTTCTTTTTATTATATAGAACACAAGTCATACACCATTAGATTATAATTTCTGGTTTATTTCTTAAATTGAGAATCTATAAAATCATCTGTACACAGATTCTGTAGTTTTAATTGTCGTATCTCATTGACTACTGACTGGAAATGATTGACAGGTATGAGATTTGGTAGCACCTTTCTATATCCCCTTAGGCATAGCTTAAGGAAGCTTCAGGTGCCTGTGGGAGTCCCAAAATAGTTGAGGAGACCTCCAAACTCTCTCTACCTTTACTACTAATTTTATTGTTGTTGTATCAGGACTTGGCCATATGTATATCTTGTTTGACCTGGATATATTGATTTACTTAACTGATGTCCTTGGGGCAATTTCTGTCAATTAAATGAACATGCTAGCAACAGATTAAAAAGTAATTAGACATTTGATTAATTCCTTCTTTCACTGACTGATGTGTGAATTCACCCATAGTTTATCAAACTTCTTTCTATTGCATTGATATAAACCATGGAACCTGGCTGTTTCAAATCAATTTCTAGCAAAGTTTATTCATTATGACTTATAGAAAAACATTTAATTTCACTGACTCCCTGTCTTCATCTTAAAATGAAGATAATATTTCTATTAACCCAAAGTATTACCTTTTTAAAGATAGCAAACAGTAAACTATTTTCAGAAGTTTTGCTTTAAGAATTTTGGCAAATATGTGACCACCCAAAATTAGAATATAAAGAAACTCCATAACTAAACAAAGCTCTTTCTATTATCACTCTGTATGCATATCTCCCCAAGTCCACCAGTGATTTTGAAGATTACTCATCTTTTTTTATTTTACTCTACAAATTTGTATCATTGAGAATATCATATGAATGTAAAAACATGATATTTAATTTTTGAGAATGGTGTTTTTGTCTCAGTATATTGACTTTTGATACATATATAAAAGATAAGTTGATTTCTTCAAGGTAAGTATTATTTCATCCAGCAATAGATAAGTATTATAGTCTAAATATCATTGCTTTTATTTTAATCAGCATCAAATAAAATTTGCACATGAGCAGTTTATGAACTGTTCTTTGATTAGTCCCTGGCATTGCCATGATGGTTGGTAGTAAGCTTCTTCATTGTCATAACATGTTGTTGTTGTTATGTGCCGTCGAGTCGCTTGCGACTCATAGCGACCCTATGTACAATAGCCCTAAACTCTGCTCTGTCCTGTGCCAATTGCACTGTCTCTGACACTCCCATCCCGATTATCCCAGTAACTGAATCAATCCAATTCATAGAGGGCCTTCCCCTCCTTTGCCGTCCCTCCACCATCCCAAGCATGATATCCATCTCCAAGGACTAGTCTCTCCTCACAACATGTCCAGAGTATGTTAGATGGAGCCTCAGAATCCTTGCCTCCAAGGAGCCACCTGGTTTAACCCTTTCCAGGACGAATCTGTTTGTTTTCCTAGCAGTCCATGGTATCCTCAATACTCTTCTCCAGCACCACAGCTCAAAGGCATCAATTCTCCTTCTAACCTCCTTGGTCATTGTCCAACTCTCTGATGCATAACAAGTGATGGCAAATACCATGGCCTGTATCAGACACATCTTAGTCTCCAGAGAGACACCATTGCTCTTCAGCACTTTGGAGAAGTTCCTAACAGCAAACTTTCCCATGGCAATGCGCCTTTTAATTTCCTGGCTGTTGTTGCCAAGAGTGTTGACTGTGGTGACAAGTAAACTAAAGCTGTGTACAATCTCAATCTCTTCACCATCCATCCTGAAGCTGCCAATTGGTCCAGTGGTGAGAATCTTTCTCTTCTTGACATTGAGCCTCAATCCATATTGGAGGCTGCAGTCCTTGACCCTCTGCAGCAGGTGCTTCAGGTCCTCCTCAGTTTCAGCAAGCCGGGTTGTGTCATCTGCATAACGGAGATTGTTAATAGACCTTCCACCAATCTTGACCCCACATTTCTCCTCAGAGAGCCCAGACTCCCTGATAATCTGTTCTGCATGCAGGTTGAAAAGGTATGGAGATAGGATGCGTCCCTGGTGTACGCCCTTCCCAAATTTGAACCATGCAGTGTTCCCTTGCTCTGTTCTGACGATTGCCTCCTGGTCCAAGTATAGGTTTCACATTAGCATGATCAAATGTTCTGGGATTTCCATTCTTCTCAGAGTCAGCCACAGTTTGTTATTATTCACAAAGTCAAATGCCCTTGCATAGTCAATGAAACACAGATAGACATTCCTCTGGTATTCTCTGCTTTCAGCTAAGATCCGTCTAACATCAGCTACAATATCCCTAGTACGACGACCCTTTCTAAACCCAGCCGGGACTTCCGGGAGTTCTCTTCTGATGTGCTGTTACAGTCATTTTTGGATAATCTTCAATAAAATCTTGCTCGCATGTGAAATCAGTGAGATTGTTCTATAGTTTCAACACTCTGTTGGGTCACCTTTCTTTGGGATAGGAACAAATCTCGATCTCTTCCAGTCAGTTGGCCAAGTGGTTGTTCTCCAGATTTCTTGGCACAACTCGGTGAGCACGTTCAGGGCAGCATCTGTTAGCTGAAATATGTCAATTGGCATACCATCTATTCCTGGAGCCTATACAATCTATCTGCGTGTTCTCGCTCAACCATGTGGCCTAGGAAAGCCATTCTGAACAATAAACCCAATATACCACAATCTCTATGCATCTACCTATTCTGGATATGTCATATTAGTGAGCTCATATAATATTTGTCCTTTTATGATTAAGTTGGAAGAAACCCTCTTTTTCCTCTTTTTGGCTCTGGTTGTTGGTGCACATGTTAGAATGTATTGGTTTTCCCTGGACTTCCTTGTATGCGTATGGGTATTATCCTGTCATTCACAATATTGTATTTCAAGACAGATCTAGAAATCACTTTTTTAACTGTGAAAGCAACTCTATTCTCCCCCACCTTTTCTTCTCCATCATAGTAGATCATAAGATGGTTTGACAAAAAAAAATGCCCCATGCCAGTCCATCTCATCTCACCAAATCTAGTATGTCAATATTTATGCATTCCATTTCTTCCTTAACAATATCCAGTTTTTCTACGTGCATGGTTCTCATATACCATGTTCCAATTACTTGTGTCTGTATATAACTGTTTCTTCTCCTTCTTTTTTTTATTTGTTTTACAATAATTTTAATGAACATTTACAGAAAATTTGGATTTCCATTCATTCATTGCTGCACTTCTTTACTGGCCCAGCCCTCTCCCCCATCCCAGTTCGCTCCTCTCTTTCAAAAGTAAAAGAAAGACTCCCTCCCTGGTACACAATCCCCCTGCACCCTCCCACCGTCCCAAGTACACTCCACTATGCAACCTTAATTGTGGACTCTTGTGATAACCATAATACCCTACCATACATCGCTTTTAAATTATTC